GGCCGTTGAGGCGGGAAAGCACGGAAGGGTTGAGCATCCACTCGGCCCCCCTTGTTCCAACACTACGCTCTCCGGGAGGGAGCGAGCATCGGGGCTGCTGCTGACGTCGCCTGTCCCAGATGAACCATCCGATTCGCTTCAAGAGCCGGCGTCGAAGAAGTCGATCGCATCCAGCGAACAGTCTCCCGCCACAGACAGGCAGTCCTCGATGTTAGCCTTAAACAAGGCTGCTCTCCTCTGCCTTTCTTCCGGAGGAAGGTCGTCACAGAGGCGGCAGGAGGAAGCGCAGGCGACGTGGAGGCGACCAGGCATCCTTTGCAGGTGTCGTGCCTGTCAAAACTGAGCAAGTAGCCGGTCTAGCAGGATGGACACAAGCGGATGGTGTTGGAGCTGGACATCTTGTAGAAGGTTAGTGCTATTAGCTTGCTGAATAAAATTGGGAGCCGATTACCCGCTCTTAACGTAACTTATACGGACCGGGTGGGGCCCACACAGCAGGTGGGCGTGGACTCAACTTTTCAGTGTAATGCTTCGCATGACGGGATAAAACCCACTAAACGACAGCCTTAATGGGCGAAGCCTATACGAAATAGAACTTTGCTAATTGGCTTTTATGTAAATGTTTCTGTAAAGTGCCCTGAGACAACTTTGTTGTGTTTTGCGCTATATAAATAAACTGAATTGAATTTCTCTAGAGCCTGTCTTGTGTGAGATTTCTCATTCTGCCTGGCTCCTGAGTTAGTGGGGATGCTGTCTGCTCTGTGGTACAGAGTCCTGATGACTCCTAACTTGTGCTCCAAAGGGTGATGGGAGTCAAACTGCAAATACTGGTCTGTGTGGGTGGGTTTGCGGTGCACCTCAGTTTGCAAATGTCCTCTATCAGAAACTGAAACCTCACAGTCCAAGAAAGCCAGCCTGCCATTTTTTTACAACTTCTCGTGTGAACTTGATGTATTTATCCACAGAGTTGATGTGGTCAGTAAAATGTTGGACTTCCTGAGATTTAATTTTAACCCAGGTCTTCTCGTCAACATACCTGAACCAACGACTTGGTGGTGTCCCTGAAAAGGACGTCAAGGCTCTCTTTTCTACCTCCTCCATGTACAGGTTGGCAACAATAGGAGAAACTGGAGACCCCATAGCACACCCATGTTTCTGCCTATAATATTGCTCCCCATATGTGAAGTAGGTTGACTGCAGGCACAGTTTCAGGAGTTGACACAGTTGTTCTGTGGAAAGCGTGGTCCTGCTGCTCAGAGTGGTGTCTGATTTTAATCTTAAACTGACCACCTTTACTGCATCATCAACAGGAACGTATGTAAAAAGTGATGTGACATCAAGAGACAACTGTCATCAGCATAGAAACGTAAGGATGTATCAGGGATGTTCTGACCTACATTACATATGTATATTGTAAAGATGGTAGGTCCTAAGACTGAGCCTTGTCGTCTGTGGCGACTCCAGATATATTTTTCTGCAGGTGCTAAGGGGGGGTGGGGTGGGGGGGACTAAGCATTTTACTGAGGGTGGCAGTAGGCTTGATCCTTCTTACAATTATTGTTTATTTGTTGGTTGCAGTTTGCTTCCAAAAAATCATTTTTCCTGATTCCATTCTAGGCAATTTGGTAAATAGAAAACGATCCTGATGCATGCTCAATAACGATCCATTTTTGCATTTCTTGCACTTTTCAAATGTTTACTGAACTTTCAGTAACTTGAATTTTCACTCCCGGTTCAGAGGTTCATTTCATGTTGGGATAGGATTTTATTTTTTTACTCAATATAATCATTGATTTTTTTGTTTTGGTAATTAGTTGTGTTTTGTGAGGAAAATATCACAAAAACCACATATTAAATAATATTAACTTATTTGAAAAAGAAAATACTGATATTTTCTTGGGAGTGCTATGACTTTTCCAGGGGGAGCTATAGCATCCCCCAAGCTCCTTCCTGGAACCGCCTATGCTTGTGATACACAATTGTTGACTGTTAAGAACTTTGGCGCGGTTCGAATGCAGTGTGAATGCATGTGGAAAAGAGACTGCTCCAAAAGCAGGAAGAGGACTACAGCGCGAGCCAAACAAACGCACATTTCTCTTACCTCATACTGGAGCCCTAGTCAGCCGCCTTGTGTGAAAATCAACATTCTCAATTGTCTTCTGCCTCATCTTCCTCTCACGCCGAGTCCATTGTTGAAAAATGACAAAACAGAAATCCTAAAACCGTTAAAATTTGACACCACTTTTGTTTTTATTTCCATAAGAAGAAGTGTCTTGAGGTTTTCATGTCATTTCTTGGTAAAACGCCACCAAAGGCGCGGGGAGGAGGGGAAACGGGATTGACTCAGTGCAGCTGAAATGTTAACAAATGTTGTGAATATTGGTCCCAAATGGAACAGAGTCCACTGGACTATCAGCTGTGAAAACAACCATAGTAAGTGAACCAACCAACAGTGTGAATTGTGAGTTTTTTACAAATTGGATTCCAAAAAAGTTGGGAAACTAAACAAATTGTGAAGAAAAACTGAATGCAATGATGTGGAGATGGAAAATGTCAATATTTTATTCGTAATATAACATAGATGACAAATCAAAAGTTTAATCTGAGTAAATGTAACATTTTAAAGGAAAAATATGTTGATTCAAAATTTCAGTGTCAACAAATCCCAAAAAAGTTGGGACAAGTAGCAATAAGTGGCTGGAAAAAGTAAATTGAGCATATAACGAACAGCTGGAAGACCAATTAACACTAATTAGGTCAATTGACAACATGATTGGGTATAAAAAGAGCTTCTCAGAGTGTCAGTGTCTCTCAGAAGCCAAGATGGTAAGAGGATCACCAATTCCACCATTGTTGTGCAGAAATATAGTGCAGCAATACCAGAATGGTGTTACCCAGCGTAAAATAGCAAAGACTTTTAAGTTATCATCATCAACCGTGCATAACATCATCAAAAGATT